GATGAAGTTCGAGCTATTAGAGTGTGAGCGAAAGGTTCATAAGCTCATTTGATAGCCAAAGCGCAAATAAGTGCAGAAATTCCAGGAAATTCCAGCACTATTCGCACTTTAGTGCCAAATTTTTCTGAGATTTAGCCACCGTCAAAATTCGCTTTAGCGTTGATAGTTGTAACCCATACGCCAGGTTCCCCCTACCTTCGGGGAAGGATTTCGGCCGAAATATGTCCTGCTTCTTGAAAAGTGAGGTATCAGAGGGTAGCGCCCAGGTATCGTCGCAAGACTATCGAAGTATGAACGAGTAGTAGAAAATCAAGTAACCAAAGTGCTTCGGAAATTTGAATGAAGGAACGGGAATTATGAAGTTGTTATCAAAATAAGGAATGACTTACATTGATGGTTCGACAACCCTTCTGTGAATTCCGAACGCTGTGAAGAGTATGAACAACAGCGGCACGCTCACACTGAATACTGGATGACTTTGCAGTGACTCCCACAACGAAACCTACAAGTAGGAGATAGTCGATTCAAGTACTCCTCTGAATTTCAAAAACACACCGAGCGCAGCGTAGGATCAGCAATCCAGTTATACGAAGTTAGCACAGCAGACAAGGATATCAGTAAGAGAACAACTGAAATTTTACTTCTTCGCGTATGAAATGTGTTGAAAACTGATCGAAAAAGAGAAACAAAAAACAAACGAACAACCCCAGGTAAGATAAACAGACGCACTTCTCCAGCGAGTACATCTCGGACCCATATGTGATATTACTTCGGTCAGCCTCCTTTCGAAAAATTTCAGGTCTGGAAAGCTACCCTCATTATATCGAATACTAAAAGAAAAGTACTAAATTTATAGGATTATTGTAGATCAATCAGTAGATTTGTTGGTCAATCACAATGATAAACATAGAAAGGACACTCAGGATGATACTACTGATTGATTTGCTGAAGAAATTGAAGTGGCTGGGTGAAACAAACTGGATGCCATATTAATGAACAACGTAATATTATTTTTTATGACACCCCCAGGATGTGTCCCCTAAGAGAAGAAAAAAAAATTAAAGTAAATCATAGTTAAATTAAAAACACACCAGATACCATAGAATTCTTTAGATTTAATTCAGCAGTTGATGCCAGGTTTGATTACGTGCTGTACATGTAAGTAAAAATTAATGAAAAGGGTGGAAGAAAATGAGGAAGAATTTTCATCAGAAAATAATCGAAGGTCATTTTTACTGAGTGAAAACTCGTAAACAATTAGATCGCAAAACCAAGCTTCCTCGAACTGAACAAATAGGCTGGCTTTTTGTACTAGTTTGTTCGAAAAGTAATGCGACACTTTGATTGAATTGTTCTAGAAAAAGACCAAAAATCATTTTGGATGTTTTTATCCCTGATTAGTGAAGATTGTCCTCTGGGGTTAAATGGGTACATCATGACTTTGCAGAAGTTTTCAAAGATTAAAAGTCCATCAGAGGTCGAGCTACTCTTGGACCTTCCCCTATGAGTTCCCGTAGGGCCACTCAGCAACAGTCGAGGAAGCCAACACCTGCATTCGTCTTCAGGAAGGATATCGCTCGCTATCGCTGGCTGGGTTTTCTTTTGCATTGGAAAAACATTGGTGAGATCTTGTGGTTGGTAGCGAGTGGTGGAGTCCTTGCGTACATCATGCACATGTCCCTCGCAGGATCTCTCAAACAGGATAGATTGCTCAGCCAAAAACAGATGTGCATGGGATAAAGATTTCAGTGTGTTATTGGTGGGACTTCAAAGCGGTATCACTGGATACTAGCACCGTTGTAAGGACCACAGTCCACCTTAATCGACTTCAAAATATGGATGACGTCACGCTTGAATTCATTCAGAAATACTCAATTTTTCTCTACTACTCGGCAATGCGAAGACCGCATGTGGGGATCAGGCTACGCCAAAAGATCATGGATTTCGATCAGAGAATGCGACCGTACCCAGGTTATTTAACAAAGTTAGCAGCCTCTAATTACCACCTCCTTTGGTCCCTATCGCATCCTTTAAAAAGCAAAAATTCCGAAAATCGACCTCAACTCGAGAATGAGGTCCACCTCTTCTTTTTATCATAGTTGCCGTAGTTCTATGAGAATGGAAATGAGAAGCTGTGCAAAAGAAGGGCACTAGTCCTAGTCATCAACTGCGGTTACCTTGTAGATTGGAGATGTCTTTTAGTGACAGAAAATTCAGTCAAATTTGGTCAAAGTGTCGCATTACTTTTCGAACAACCTAATATATACATAATTCTAACCGAAAGCATCTCTCTCTCGATTCCAAAACAAGCTAGGGTGAACTGCGAGGTTGCAGGTTGTCTTCCGTTGCAAATGTGTGCAAAGCGCGAATCGGAAGAATCGGAGAACCGGGGTCGATCGATCCACACCTAGTCCATTAGGACGCAGCTTTAGAATGGAGGAAGCGAGTGTCACCAGCGGGGTCGCATTTGGTTGGGAGATACTGCCCACTTCAGAAAAGCGCACTCAGTGACTCTCCCATGAGTTCTCTACATTTGCAGAAAATAAACGCGGTCATGTCTACGGAGAACTCAGCATGAACACTTTTAGGACGCGCCGTGCATTTTAGGGACGTCTATATACTACGAGGAGTTACAAGCTTGTACGTCAAGTAATGGATCCATTCGTTCAGAACTATATGGTCCATCTGTAACCTTGGTCAAAGAAAAGACCTCCCAAGCAGGGCAGTGCAACAAGGCGTGTTCAAAAGATGTATTGCCTCACGGCGCGTCCATACTTCGCGACGCAAACGCTTCCGTCACGCAAGCAATTCCCAGAACGCGAGGACGACCACGTCTCGCATTTTTAACAGAACATCTTATGACCCTCGCAGCGGTCCAGTTGTTAGCACTGGAGTGCCACGTGCCGTAATCGCGCGAAAGAATCGTTTTGAACAGTGAGCGTGGACTCACCCTGAGGTTGAACGTGCTTGATTAGACCATTGGAACAGGACCACTTTTACAACGGAGGTTAGATCATCCCAAAGGCAGAGCAACACCACGAGAAAATGAGTCCCAACAAACCTTCACATGCAGTAGCAGCATCATCCATAACAATGCTCTTTGAGTACGTTTTGCTTTGGTTTCTGTAAAAGATGAGAGCTAGGGAATAATGAGGGTGAATGGCGATCTCACGTTGAGTTAGTGATCGGGTATCAAACCGTATCGCAATTGGCGACGAATTATCAACGAGATTTCTTTATTGTCAACAACATAGACATCTCTTCAACATCATAACGGGCAACAAAACAAGGTATGTTCCGATGGGGAGGTCTAAAATCAACACTTTAAAATCAACAACTCAGAAATAACAGTCCCTAGAATCACTACAAACAAAACTGTTGCGCAATGCGGTCCCCAGGGCTTCATCTACTGTTGATGTTTCACCTTTTGTTTTTTCTGTAGCTTTCTTCGCCAGGAGTTGTCCCTCTTGCTGTTGGCTTTTTTCGTTCCAAACTCAACAACACCAGTTGCTTTCTGGAAAAAAAATGACAATTCCAGCGCGATTTTAGAAGACATGAGCCATTCCCTGAACTTACTGATGACCCAGCTGCTGCCTCAACGATCGATTTACCACCTATCCGCCTCTTTTTGGTGTGTTTCTTCCCAGCACGTACACCTCTGCCTCGCTTTTCTTTACTCTCTGCTTTTTCATGAGCTTCTTTCTCCTGCAGACAAAATGCATCCGGATTCACATGAAGTGAAGGGTAGAAACAGAGGCAAACCTTTTCCTCTTGATCATCAGAGTGCATAGCTTCGAGATCCTCCTCCAAATCGCTTACTCCAGACAAATCAGAAAGTCCGGAGCACAACGAGCCTACATCGGTCAATTCGTCGTCCTGAATTGTTAGATTAGAAATGAGAACGTATGAACCAAAAAAGAATGTTTCACTGCGCACTTCAGAAACTGAGAACGTCCTGTTTTCATGGATGAAAAATTTGGAAGCAAAACTGTTTCACCCAATACATTTTCATATAGGATCACTCGATCCGCAGAAACAAATTAATAGCAAAAATAAGAGCTCTGTTGGCCACTTCAAAGATCCTACCCCTCATCCCCCAACACTAGCAATCATTAAGACAGAGATGACACTAAAAAGCTACTTTAAGATTCAAAACGCCTGGCAAGACGCAATGGTTTCTGCTCTGAAATCATCTGAAAGACCTCATCCATTTCTTCCGTTTGTACAGTGCCGTCTGGCTCTGCTGAACAATTGCTTTCTGGTTCCTCCTCATCGTCCCCTAATTCACTTTTCGTACCAAAAGGCAGTTCATCGTCATCAGCACTGGTCTCGTTAATGGGTGCCTATAAGTAAAAAATTAGTTTTCCCTACAACTGACGCCCAAGCACGGCTTCAACCCCTCATTTCCAACAGATTTCACTGTGTAGCGTCAACAGAAACCCTCAAAACATAACGACAGAGCAACAAAGCATACCTGATCAAACTCTTTCTTAGCTCGTTCTTCACAGCCTGGTGGCACAACAAAATAAGGTAGTTTGCCTCGTTGGAAATCATTCAAGACCGATTTCGCTATTGCTGTGATGTCGGGCTCTCCACCCTTAAAATATACTTTTCAAGAAAACTTTTTTAATCAATTTGAGTGCAAAAATACCTTCAGAAGACGGCCCTGCTTCACAGCAATTTTCGTCATGAAGTCTTCAGCATCCGTCCACTCGTCAATCCCATAATGTTTCATCAAATGCTCAGGTTTCACGCGGTCTAGCACACCTTGCACATGATTCTCCGGATCTTTCACGTTTTCAACACGAACCTTAATTTTACAAAAAGATATTTTCACAGGAGTAGCAACAGAAACAAGTTTTTCACTCACCACTCCCTTGAGAATGATTTGGGTCTCCGAATCTCCCTGAGGATATACCACTCCAGGGCAATCGATCATATAAATCCGACGCATGAGCATGACATATTGCCAAACCTGGAACAATACAAGGAAATAAATATGACAGGGGTAGGTTGATAAAATGGACTAAAGAAAGAGAAGGGGATGGAAGACATATGAAGCAAGAGAAAAGAACCAGATGAAAACCATCACATAGCTGAAAGGATTCATTAGGATAAAAAGAAACTCCCATAGAAATCATAACAGGCGCGTGAACTTCAAAAGAGGCCCGGAGAACATAAGGAAAACAGTGTTTAGCGGTGGTTCCAAGCAAAAACCTGCTGTACATACAAGGCTCTGACGAAGGCGATAACGGCCGAAACGTTAGCCAAATAAAACTGTTGTATCATCTTGGTTACGGCTACAGTAACATCCAGAGAAAACCTCACAATATGCCAAGGTCATTGAGGGTCGAACGTGGACACTTAAAGAAGTGCCAGCCGGTTATGCGCTTCCGCTGCGACAGAAGATCGTCATGGCGAAGCAGACCACCCACTATCTCAAAAGCTGCCTTCAACACCGCGTCGTGCCGAACTTCATCAAGAACAAACGACTGCACGAGGTATGCGGGTAGACAGCAGGCAGGTACAATAAATGGAACTACGCATACTGAGGGCTGCACTTGGAAGCAAAAGAGATCAAACTTTTCCTACGCTTAGGAAGTGTACGTCTAAGGCAGCGTTCAGACTTCGCGACGGCAGCGCTTCGGTCGCGCGTTCGACGCGATCGATGCGCATGCTTTCGACTGCATCGATCGCGTCGAACGCGCGACCGAAGCGCTGCCGTCGCGAAGTCTGAACGCTGCCTAAAGAAATAAGGAAAATATCACGAGCTCATGTCTCACCTTCGTCTCTCCTGCTATCGGTGCTGTCTTGCATACTTTTTTCTTTCGCAATGTATTCACTATCGATGACTTCCCAACGTTCGGATATCCGATGAAGCCGACACTAATCTGCAAACCAAAAATCGTTGTACTTACAATGAGAAAAGCTTTTGTTTGGGTGAAAATGTGGTGGACATAAATAGGCCACATGGACACAAATGTACTCAGAAAAACAGAAATAATAGCAGAAAGAAACATTCACAACATGAGTTGGTAACTGGAAAGAAAACTGAAATCTTATCGAAGAAAAGGAAGACACCACCGCGGATAAGCGCAACTAGAGGTATACTTGATTAGTATCGCTGCTGTAACGCAGTTTGTCTAGCGACGGGGAATCGTTAGTCTAAAGGCAGCGGAAAACGAGCACAGACAAAACAAAGTAGCGATATCTAATGACAAACAAGGGGTACGTCGACTGCAGTGGGCTCTCAAAGAAATTCTTGTGTAAAGTTGCATTGAATGCTTGATAAAACCTCCTTTTCGGACAATGACATCAACTCATCTTCGTGACTGGACTTAGGCTAAAAAACATCAAATTTTGCACAAGTCCTTGAATTGATCTCCTTAGCCGACAGACACACCAAGGGTTACACGGCAAAGTGAACTCGTGTATGCATAAAAGGATTCCCAATGATCTCGAGCTCTTTAGTAGACAAGTCTACTAGCAAGAAAGAGGGCCTACGGCAAAGAATTGATCCCTCGACTGCAAAAAGACCGACTGATCGCTAGGTCTGCTCTGAGCCCACTCGAGGAGGAGGAGATATTCAAGCGAACTCTTTGGGACCTAAGGCCACGAGAATGATTGAAAAAGGCAAGCTGATACATAAATTACTGAGTCGTTTCACTATCTTTATTTACGGCGGTCGGACAAACAGATCAATGCGCATTCAAATTCTCGCTAGTAGGCTGGCGAACTGACAATTGCAAGCAGCCGACTGTCACGGTGCAGTCTACAACAAGACCACACACATCTCACTGAATCAATAACCGATGGCTCCCTTCATCCAAGGGCCCGAGTTTCCCGTGGACCGACACAGATTCGAGGAGGGCTTCTTGAAAATATGCAACTCAAAATGAGAGATAAAACTCTGTATCGCGATGGAATGCAGAAACGTAGACAGAAAAAAGCGTTCCTTTGTTGTGACGAACAGAAATGTCGCAATCAATACGCCTGCAGTATGAGACCGCGGGGAGCACTATTGTTACACGATCGGTAACAATCGGAGGCGAATCCTTCTAGAGAAAACTTCCAAAAATTACTGTAGTTTTTGGGCGGTAATAGGTTTATAGGTCACTACGCCTCGAAAGGAATCGCTTTTAATGATCTCCAATTGGGTCAAACGGTCGCAGTAGCATCCATTTGTAACAACGATGGCTGCCACTAGCCAGGCGGGCAGTGTTCACAAAGGCATGACACGTCGGGGTGTCCCCTCAGCCACCCAGCGCCTCGTGCCTATCCACATGCCCTCTCTCCCCACGCTTGCGCTAATCGATCGGCGTCCCATGCGCGTAATCGCGCGCCGCCGCCGGCAGGGCCACCATCACTTCCATTTGCAATCCTTTGTTTTCATTTCTTCTACTCGTTCCAATCACTCGTTCATGAACTGCTATCCCTTTGTGAAATAAAGTCGCATCCTTACAGAGAATGTCAATGAAAGTGCGCTATCAGTGGACAGGCGATCTCCGTGAAGCGCTCGCGATTAGTGTGGAGAAGCGAGAAAAGCTTTGGAAGAAATTCCCAGTAGTCAGCCATGACACAGAATTGAGGGCAAAGCTTTGGGCTGAAGTGGCCGATGAGCTCACGCAGCAATTCGGAGTTCTCATTGACAGTAAGTTTGATTCGTTTTCAAGATCTTTTTTACAAAAACATCAGAAGAAATTCTTTTAGCCGATGACATGAAGAAGACGTGGAAAAATTTAAAGGACAATTACTGGAGAATAACCCGATTATATGAGAACGACCCCACGAAGCCCAGACGGTGGCGATTCTACCAATGCATGAGATTCATGGATAGAGCTAACGTCGACGATTCGATAACTCTCGACGGTCAGTCACAAAACCCGTCATCTTCCTCCGACACCCCACAAACAAGGTGGGTCATTTTAGGATAAGCTGTAGGCAATTAATCTTAATCACTCAATTAAAGGTTACAAAAAGCACGAATGCTCATTGACGGCATAGCGAAGCGGTTGCGTAAAGAAGAATACGAGACGCAATTGAGCAGTTCCGATGGTGGCGGATCGGGCCAAGAGGTGAATCAGCTTCACTTTCCTTCGATGACAGCATTAATCACCATGTTTCTTGAGCATGAGGCGCTTTTATTAGCGGAGTCGCACGGACGCATGCCGAACGTTTCCTGACACAAAAGCGGTTTTTTTTGCCCTTTTCACCTGCTCTAATCTTCTTATTATTTGCAAGTAATTCCCATTCAGTATGAGTATTCGACCATTTCATTTCAATAGTTGAAAGTATGAAACAAGCTCGGAAGAAAAACTCGATTCAACAATTCGTAATTTCAAAAGATGAAACCGAAAAACGTTCTGCTGTGCAAAAGATAAGTGGCGTTCGAGGCGGAGATGCGCCAGTCGAGTGCGCCTTATACCACAAAAAAAGTTATAAATATTAAAGAAAAAATGGAAAAATGAAAGGTACTAGATTTCAAGATTTATTATGTATCACACAGATCTCACCGTCCGTCGCATTGCGAACTTAAAACAATAGTGATGCTTTCTCTTTTTGATCATGTCATTTTTCGCAATAATTCAAAAAACTACATATAGAGGGAGAGGAAATCTTAGTGAAACTCTAACTTTATTATATCCTTATCATCACTTTGAGCCAGAGGTGGTGCAGTGGCAAGTCGTAGAAACCTTTGCATTTACCACTACTTTATTTGAGAATTTCAGGGGAGCGATAGTTGTGGTCCGCAAAACAGTCAGGGACGTGTACGCGATTTAATCCAAATTTCTGTACCGGAAATCGACCGTTTCATCAAAACTAAGCAGAAACCTCTCACAGGTGCCGAGATCTACTGCATTCCCTTCGAGGAAATCCAGGGTACGTCCTTATCCTTCGCGGAAAAGTTCCAAACCTCTTAATTCTTGGGATTCTAACAGATGAGTCATGATTTGCGGAAGACTGAACTCAGAAGAAACTATTATGTTTTCAGACGTGTTAGCTACCAAACTAAAAAATATTTGGACAAAATTGGAGGATAACCACAATGAAGATCAATTGGACAGTCAAATCGATGCAATACATGTCTACCAAGCAGAAAACCTCATCTCAAAGCCTTCGGATAGCAATGGAGGCGGTATGCAGCATATGGTTAAATACGATAAAAAGATGCGGACAGAAACCGACAAGGAAACCAGGTATAACATAGCTTATTCATAAACTATAAAAAAACTACTGTTACCTTCAGACTGCTCGAACTAATTGAAATAGCAAACGAGAACTACGAGATCAACGAAGAAATTCGCTACACAGTTCAAATATGCGCATCTATTCTACGCGGTGTCTACCATCAAGCTGCCTTTGCACTTTTTATGCGCCAGAACATGCCCTCGGGCCAATTACAAACCCTTGTTGATGCCTACGACGATTATGTTTACAACAATACCAAACCGATGAACAAAGTCATTTCAAAGGTTGGACAGCAACGGTGCCTTTAAATTTACAGAAAGTAATCTGAAGGAATTTCAGGTAGTCAAAGGTTGTGAGCCTGAAAAGCAGAAGGCCTTTATGGCTTTGTTCTCCATACTTGAGAGGTGAGCTCAGTTCCTGCATTCTGAACCGACATATTGCCATTTTATGGGTTCCTTTTCAGAAATACAAACTTACTCAGTCTCAAATGCCCAGATGATCGTTGGGCTGAGATTGACAACGAAGCGAGGAAGAACATCGATAAATTGTTTGCAAAGGAGAGAGCAAAAAAAGGTAGCACATCGCCTGCACTTCAGTTTAACACCAATCTTAGCAAGAAGCACACAAGAAAAAGGAGAAAGCATGTCCTTACCGAATTGGGAGCAGGTAGGACCTTACTTAAACCCTAGAAATCGCCAGCTAGCCTTGACGAGTTGGAATAACAAAGTTCGTTCTCTTAGCCATTCAATATTATTTAAGAGGAACAGCGACGTTTCATGCGCATGCGCGCAGGAATAGCAAAGAAACTTGTGGAATATGTATCGGCAATAGAGTCTACAAAGTCACTTCTGGAAATGGTAGAACCAGAGGACAGCGAGACAAGAGAAGAACTCGAAAATACTCTACGAAATGTCCGAGAAATGCATGATGTGGGTCGTTGAGAATTAGTCCATCATGAATTTTCCAGATTCCAGATCCAGTTCTTTAGAAAACTAAAAATGATCAAAAACGATTGGAGGCGCAGTACAAGGACTTCCAAAACCGAAGTTTTGGACCACGAAGGAAAAAACGATATGTTCCTGAAAGCCAGAGCACCGCTCAGGATGATGCACCGGTGTCCACGGATAACGGCTCCCCTGAGCCAGATCCGCAATTATTTGATCACATTGTTAAATTAGAACCAGATGCTTGATTATTTCTTTATTTGTAAAAATCGAGACATAAAATATGTCCTGATCTGTCCTCCCAAACTGAAGCATCTTCCGCACCTAGTGAGAAACGAGATTATGACTATTCCAAAGGGATAGATGTTACCTGTTGTCTTTCTTTATGAAGCTTGGCGAATTGACGCAATAGATTGATCAAAGCCCCTTTTCCGAAGGAGTGCTGAATGGACGCGTGAAATGCGATTGTAGGCAGTTCCTTTGAGAGTTCGCCGATCCATTTGCGCTGAGAACACACACGCATTAGTCGTTTGATGTCTAATCAGTGCCATTCACCACTAATCATCGTGGAATCCCAGGAAAACTTGACAGGGCAGATGAACTTACTGTAACCCATGTCGGCACAAGGTCTACTTTGTTGATGACAGTTACAAGATGTTTGTGAGGCTTTTCTTTTCGCAGAAACTCTTCAACATGACGACAGCGCGTACCCATGGGGTCGCGAGCATCTACCACCTGCACCACAACGTCTGATGAATCCAATACCTACAAGAAAAAGCAATGGATTGTAAATGAGCCTTCAAACGAGAGGATAAAGGCACGACGGGAGGAAATAAAAAGGAAGAAATCACCTTGTATAATTCGCCCCAAACACGGTTACTTTGACCCGCTTTAAAAAGAGGGTTTGGATTTTCCATACGAATCAGTTCGCGGTCATCCACTTGCAAATCGCGATCCTTCGCTACATCGTATTTTTCACTACGTAGTTCAATTGACTTCGTCATATCCTTGAAAGGGAATAACACTCTGAGCAGCATATGCAGTAGCGTAAAGGCAGACCTCAAGGCTGTCAGAAGATAATTTCGCCTTTTTCCTCAGAGCTTTCTTTCCGAAAGTGTACTCGAAGGACTCCGTATCCGTCACATGTACACGCTGTTGCTAAAAATAAACGTAAAAAGGTTTTCGAGAATGTCACCTGCGAACCCACATACTTTGGCCTTTTCCTGCAGCAGGCTGATGGGAAGCTTCGTTTGTTTCATAACTACCTGAAATGGGGAAAGCTCTGGATGAGCTATCGACTCTTACCTTTGAAAACATTGCAGTACTTTGAGACTGACCTGGAAAGGATCACGCATAACTTTTCCCAGATTCTCCTGGAACTTCTGCAACTGATCCTGACCGACTATTCTTGTATTGCCTGAAAAACTAGTTATATAGTCAATCATTCATCGAAATATCAGTTCAACAGTGTAACTCACCGAACCATTTCCTATTTGGTTCAACCCGCGCAACAGTACCGGACTTTAACCAACTTTGGAAAGGAGCTGCTTTCAGAATTGTGCCATCCTTGTCCCTGGAACCATGTCATAACATAGAGTGAGCTCCTACGAGAAGTGGTCACTGCTTAGGGACTGAGAAAAAACACTTACCTGATTGGTTTGAAACTTTTGTACATTCGCAAACGATTAATTGTGGCTTTGGAGCGGAGATGTGTGCTTTGCGCATCTCTTGGTCGGTCTGTAAACCCGAATGAAATGAAGAAATGAGAAGTCAACATTTAGATTAAAGAAGAACCACAAGAAAACAATTTCACTTCTCTTAAGTGAGCTTGCACAGAATGGTCAAGGCGGAAGCATAGCACTGCTCACAGCAAAATCCAGAGTTCTGCCAATTCTCAAGCAATTTCAGTGGCCTGACATTCAGTAACAAACTCTAATGAGGAACTGGTTCAGTAAAAAGTGTGATTATTTAGCTTGCTCAGTAATAGGACGAGCTTTTTTTTGAATCATACTTCTTCCCGTAGAGACTTAATAAAGTTTTAGTCCAGCTGAATAGGAGTTGTGATGGACAACCTCGTTCGATTTTGGTCTAAACGTTGGGACATGAACCGCTCCAATGCATACGAGATGACGGAATACACATTTTGTCACTATCACAGGTCTACCCATGGATAATAGAAGTATTTCTCGTTGCCTAGGTAAGTTATTCGTGAAGGTGGAGGTATTCTGCTGGGAAAGATAGTTTCAAGGAAGATCGTTCGCTATAACACTTCTACAAGAACCCTTCCCAGGCCGCGTTCATAGCTTGCGTTTGTGAAGAAATGCAGGAAATGCGGAAAATGCAGAGCGGAAAGTGCAGAAGTGCGGAATCTGCAGAAAAGCAATAGATACTTATCGACTTGAAGAAATGCAGAAATGCCGAAACTGCAGAAGTGCGGAAAGTGCAGAAATGACGAAAAGCATTACATACGTATCGATTTGAAGAAATGCAGAAATGCCGAAAGTGTGGAAAATCGATACGTATCGGTTGCTTTTCTGCACATTCCGCACTTTCGGCATTTCTGCAGATTCCGCACTTCTTCACTTTCGGCATTTCTGCATTTCTTCAAATCGATACGTATGTAATGCTTTTCGTCATTTCTGCACTTTCCGCATTTCTGCATTTCTTCACGAACGCAAGCTATGAACGCGGCCTCATTAGAACCGTTAATATTTTCAAAAAAAAACAACATTCTCATTTACCTGGATTCATACTGTGATTTGAACCCCTGAAGGTATGTCTGTTCTTGACAGGTCCATAATTTGGCTTCATTTTTAGCTTTGGGTTTTTACCCTCATCCCGTTTTTTGACCATTTTGAGAAACAAACCTGTACGGTCACTGAATAAGGACAGTGGAGATTTATTGTGACAGTAAGGCGAAGTGCAGATTGAAGAAGAAAAACAGCAAAATACATAGAAATGAAATCTGTTCAAAAACAATCAAACTATTCTCAGAGGGATAATACTCAAAAAGTAAAAACTTTCGATTTTTCCAGGGCAAAACTAACGACGAGAATGTAGCCTCGAAGCCAAATAAACAGATTAGACAAGACAGTTTTCTCGAGCAGTTGCTATTGATAATTTGTATTGTAACTTGACCACGTAAATCAGACTGAAGAGAAATTTTCACTGTAGTAAAAGTCATCACTTCCAAGCGTGAAGATTTCATGCTCCAGGGGTAATTAATGCGACGCGGCCTGCAAAGCGGTCGTAGGTACCACGGGCGGCGCGCTTTCAATCGACGGCCATTTCTAAAATGGTTCTCATTTTACCCACATCTGTTTTAATTGCTTTCTCTCTTTCTTGGAGATTTTGTTTACTCATCGATATGAAAAACCGAGGTGTATGCTATGAGTGGGGGGGGGGCTGAGACATGGTGACTCCAGGCCCAATGTTCTTGATAATTAATATTGGTTATGCCCTGAGTATGCAGTCATACGTGGCGGAAGTGCTCAAATCCTATTGAATTAGTAAAGCTACTGCAAAATATGACATCGACATGGTTCGAGGACGAGACCTTCTTCTTCTCCCTAGCGTTAGTCCCG